AAAAAAACTGATTGTTTTGTTGTGACCCATAAAATTGCAAGAAAGGCGAAAAACAAATATGCCGAGCGAGATGCTTATGTCTGCATTTACATTTCGGCATTTCTTTTCTTCGTTTCTAACGGGTGATACTTGAAGAGGAGAAAAACTCGGCAGAAAAAACAACATCTATCAAACAGCATGTTTTGTCAATGCCATTGTTTATGCTTCTCCGATCTTTAAAAAATAAATATGACGAAAAAAAAAGAACAGTCATGTATGTTAACAGCCAATACGTAAAAATTGTGTCAGAATATCAAATGGCTTTTATAATCCAGCACGAGCTATAGAAGAAAAGCAAGAAGTTTATTTTGTTAAAATTACAAGTAGCATAACTGAACATGTCTCTACTATGTACAAATAACTTACATTCTCTATTGTGATTGCATATTATGACTTTTTGTTCACATCGAATCTTCACAATGAATTTCCCTATTAGTTGCTTTGTTTCATAACGTAATTGATGGTTTATCAGCATTCCATCTTGATTTGGATTTTCATGCTTCACAAGTTAAAGTATGATTTGTTTATCATTCGGAATTGCTTTTTCTAATTTAACATGTATGGTTGTTTTATTTGTTATAGTACTTTTAGCAATAAGAGCTATTTCGAAAAAAAAGAAACTAATAGATTTCACTCTCTAAATAAAGAAGTCAATATTACAATGATGATCTTTTTGTTGACGAAAATATTGTTAATTAACCTTGATAAATAGAAATAGTACACACAATTTCAAATACAGTCGAGAGTATATGATAGAAATAAAGAATGAAATGTGATACAATTAGTTTGAAGATTGTTATAGCATGAGAATACTATCAATAAATATACAACCTACCGCTGTCGTCAATCTCTTCGCTAATCAAAGTTTTCGATTGAATGTCAGTAATTGTTTGGTCACACTTATATCTATTCAAATACATATTTTTTTTCGATAATGAATTTTGTCTAGTCCGAATGATGTTACAACTTTCATATGCTTATTCTTGAATAAATAATGTATGAAATAAAAATGTAATAAATGTGAGATGGCATTGCCATTTTACGCACACATTTATAAAAAGATACTGATAGTCGATGGCTACAACCTATAACACATATCATGGAATGAGTTCATGAAGAAATGAATGTTCCAGGACTTTATTACCAATGATACGAGGTATCAAAATTTCCGTTTGTGTTATATCCAATATATTGGCAATAATAACATCATATGATGAAAAATAAAGTTCAAGTAAAGAAAGAAATGCTTTTGCACAAGTAGTGTTGTTGAACAGAACAAAGTGGCATATAGATGATAATATAAGCAGAGAAATAATAGCATGGTTATCAATGCAGGTGTGAGTATGGACTGTGGAGCGTGGAGTGTGGATGTAGGTGTGGGTTCAGGGAAGATCTAACTTACATTCACATCTACGTCGATGCTCATACCATAAACTATCCTATCGCAACATCATGCACACACTTACAACCATATAATGAATGAACTTTATGCTTGATAAGCTTCCCAAATTAAGTATCCTCTATTATGGCTTATGTCTGTGGGGAGTATATGCTATGAGAACTAACAAATACGAATGGATGCACGATAATTAAAATGCTGTATAATTATTTTATTTGATTTGAATTACGCCATTTGGTGTCACTGTGAATTGATGCAATCAATGAAAAATGTTTGATTTGTAAAAAAGGATACAAAAAAATCTGGCCGGTGCGTACTGTAAAACTTGTTTGCACCGTCCGTTTTTGTTACTGATCAGAACACTTGTACACGAAATTTTAAAGTTACAAAAGCAATCATTGACAAAGACAAAAATTATTTCTTGTCCAATCATTTTCATCTGCAATATTATAATGTGACACTGTTTCTATGTTGTTAGTTAAATAAGATGGTAATGGTTTGGATCAAGCACATCTGGATTAATGAGATGATGTTGTACAAGTAGACCCACTGTAGTTAAAGCTAGTTTTTCTTCAACAGCTGGTCCTCGATTTTGCCAATATTCACCAAATACACCATGTGAATCAGCTGGATTCAACTCTGAAACATTGAAACCCTTTCGAGCAATAGCGACAGTTAATCGATGCATGTCTTGATCAGCAATCAATACAGGAATAGGACCTTTATAATTGCTTTGAGTGAATTCATCAACAAATGCTTGATAGGTATCTTGTCTTTTACCGTTTCGATATCTTACACCAAAAATAGGTAGAGCAAACACAACAGCAAGTATGTTTTGATACATTGGCCCATCTTCTTCAAGTACTTGTCGAATAGCGGATGCAGAAAGTGATCGTACCGTTTCATCGATTCCAATAGTTGTACCAGCAAATACACCAAGTCCAAT